CCCGCGTGGTCCCGCGTGGTCCCGCGTGGTCCCGCGTGGTCCCGCGTGGTCCCGCGTGGTCCCGCGTGGTCCCGCGTGGTCCCGCGTGGTCCCGAAGTGCTGCGGTTAGGTTTGCAGTGAGGAAGTCAGCTTGACAAGTAATTGGAGACTCTATACAGAGAGTAGGGGGAGGGTAGACGCAATACAAAATGAAATAATTGGAGGTTCAAAATTACTATAATAAATAATTTATGTATATTTTGGATCAAGAAGATTGCTAAATCACATTGTCAAACATTGTATCTCAAGCCTTTGAAACTCTGAGGGTTCAATCAACCATAATCACTAGGCTGTGCGTACACATTCAAAAGCTGTTTTAGCTTGGAAAATAATTTAAAATGAAATAAATCAATAAGGAAGCACACGGTGTGGTATGCGGGACGTTAATATATATACTTAAAAGCTAATAAAAATGAAACAAAGCCTTCAAAAACTGAAACAGAGTGTACTGTATGTTTCTCCTACTGTGGCGTTCAAGTGTTTTCAGTAGTTTGCAAACTATTAAATATGGTTTGTTTTGTTGCATATTGTACACTGTTTTGTCTGTCGACCAGGACCGCTCATTAACATATGGCAGGGAGGTGGTGCCGTGCCTTTCGGGCTTTCAGCTGACTGCTGTGTGTCGGCGCAGGTATGGTCCGAATTCCATGAGCGAGTACTTGGAGAACCTCCAGACCTTCTTCAGGAAGCTGAAGGAGACCCTGCTCCCGGAGTGCCTGGTGCTGTGGAGCCTGGCCATGCCCCTGGGCAGGAGGCTCACGGGAGGGTTCCTCGTGCCGGAGGTGAGCGTGGCAGAGCGTGGCAGAGCGTGGCAGAGCTGCTCGTTCGTGCGCAGTGAAGGGGCGGGGCGCTTCGGAGGGCCGAGGCTTTTCAAAATGGCAGCTGTTTCGTCTAATAAAAACCTAAAAAAATCAATTTATTTTCCAGTTGTTGCAACAGATGTTCTTCAATATAAACTCTTCAGTCCAAATTACCTTTACATTAAAAAAAAAAACACGGGTCAAGGTAAAAGCAATCCTGTATATTGCTGTCCAGGAATTTGCTATTAGCCAGAAGGGCTTACATTTTCTGAAATGTTCTTTATGACGGGGATTTTAATACCCATTCTTTAGTGTTATGGGTATCTTAAAAGATCTGTGCTTCAGTTGTGATGTTGATCAGTATAGAGTGGTCAGATTTTCAGCATGGTGCAATGCAAAATGGATTTGGTTTCTTTCGTCTTTGTGTTGGAACGGCAATTTTACTAGGCTGAATCTGTGGCTACACTGCAGGTGTCATACATCAAAGGCAGCGTCCCCTGTTACTCCTGTCTTGATTGTAATGTAATGTTTCTTTATTGGCCGTATACAATTTCTTGCATTAGGAATTCGTCTTTTCGCACACCCCAGCTTCTCTCCCTGTCTGTGTGTCTGTCTCCATGGAGAAAAGCTGGGGTGTGCGAAAAGACGAATTCCTAATGCAAGAAATTGTATACGGCCAATAAAGAAACATTACATTTCACCCCAGCTTTTCTCCATGGAGACAGACACACAGACAGGGAGAGAAGCTGGGGGTCAGAGCGCAGGGTCTGCCATTGTACGGCACCCTTGGAGCAGCTGGGGTGAAGGGCCTTGCTCAGGGGCCCAACGGAGTAGGATTCCTCAGCCGGCCGCGGGATTTGAACCGGCAACCTTCCAGTCACAGACACAGATCCTTAGCCACAGGGCCACTGCTCCGCCATTGTGTGGTACTGCAGTACACTACACTCTGACAACCTTTACCATTCTGTGGAAAGCTGTGTCTGACTTGCTTGTACTTGAGACTTTTCAAGCACAATTTAAAATAGCAATATTTGTAGTCAAATTTCTGGACATTTATACAAAATTGCTTTTACCTTTTTTTTTGTAAAGATAATTTGCATTGAGGAATTATATTGAAGGACCTCTGCTGTAATAACAGGAAAATAAATGCAAGTTGAGGATTTTATTTGAAGAAATAGCTGATATTTTGAAAAGCAGAGTGTCTGTGAAGTATGATAATAGATTGATGTACTGACTCTCTGTAAGCTTGCATTAAAAAAAAAAAACAGGGTTTATTTTAACACGCTTTTCATCTGAGTTTCCAGAATAATTGTAGATTTTCTGGCTGGTAAACACTGGCACATTTGATGTGTGTGCCATAATGTCATAGGATATAAAATTGTAGCAGTGCTACAGCAGGGATCCTTGAAACCATTATTTAAAGTAATTCAGGTCTTCATGTTCTGCATCTAATCTGAATATTGCCTCAGCTTGCCATTAGAAAGTATTTCTCTGTGACAAGCAGAATTTTGATTACAGTGTCTGTATAGCAAAGAGTATAGTGGCGCAGTGGTTAGCATTACTGCCTTCCAGTGGAGGTGGAGTCTGTGTGGTGTTTGAGTGAGTCTTCTCTGGGTGCTCTGGTGTCTTCCCACAGTAAAAAGGCATTCAGGTTAATTAGGTTTGGGGAAACTGGCCCTGGTGAGGAAGTGTATGTGTGTCCGTGTGTGTCGTCCTGTCCAGGGTGTATCTGTGCGCCCGTCGCTTGCTGGGATAGGCACTGGCTTCTCCTGCGACTCTGAATTGACTGAAGCAATTAGAAAAATCATTTATGTACGTCTTGAAATCATTGATAAATATTAAAATGACTTGGAATGAGAGGGAAGCTTTATTGCCAGGTATTATCCAGGCCAATATAAATCCAAATGGTTGATTTATTCAACGCTTTTTATTGTCTGCTTCTGTGGAAATTTCTTTGGCTTCTCCCATAAAAGTACAGAAACACAAAACAGCAAAACACTAAAGTCACATAAAATCACATGAAGTGCATGAAACCACAACAGTATGTGATGCATAAGTAAATGGATCAGTAAAGAGGTAGTGGGGGACTACAGCTACCTACGGGTACATTCATTGAGCAGTTTTATCGCAGGGAGGACGAAGTATTGGAAATCTTCTGACGTTTCTTTGACTGGGGAATCTGCAGTTTCTGCGATATCTAGAATGGGCTTGAAGCAGCCGTCGCTGGGGTTGGCTTCCAGGGTCTGGCGGAAGGCCGAGCCGGTGGTGCCCCGTGTTTCTCCCGCCCTCAGGTGCAGCACTTGAGCCAGACGCTGCGCCACGACGTGATCGAGGCCAACTTCTACAGCGCCGCGCTGGCCGACCGCCACGGCCTCGACGTGCTGGACCTGCACTTCCACTTCCGGCGCCGCCTGCAGCACCGCACGGGCGACGGCGTGCACTGGGGCCCCGCGGCCCACCGCCACATCAGCTGCCTGCTGCTGCGCCACGCGGCCGGGGCCTGGGGCGTGCGGCTGCCCGACGGGGGTGAGCGCGCCGGAGCTCGGCCCTGTGGGATCGCTCGCCCCAGCGTTGACGGGAATAGGAGCGACGAAAGGCGGGGAAAAGAAACGCAGCGTTTCGACTGTGGAGCCTTCTTCGGGTGTGTCACCCGGTGTCACCTGAAGGAGGCCCCACAGCTGAATCGCTGTTTCTTTTCTTCTCTTTTCAGCACAAAATAAACCTTTTCTGGTTCTTTTGCAGCCCATGCGTGCCGACACAGCCGCCTACTTGAACTACTTCAGTTTCCATTAATATTTACTCAGTGTTGTGGATGTAGTAGTAGAGGAGCTTATTGGCATCTGTATATGTACATGGGAATTGTTATTCGTGCTGATCTCTCAGGACACACACAGTGCAGCAGACAACACCACACAATGTAGACAGTACATTACAAACATCATAAATCATAGCAACCAGAACAATAAATACACTGTGGAGCGCAATAAATATGTAGTAGTGAAATAATGGTAGTCTATGCAAAAAGTGCACAGACTACTATGTATTTGTGTATTCATGCATTGTTTTCAGGCTGAGGTATGCCTGAACACTTTGCAAAACTGGAAACAAAGTTCACAAGCAACATCAAAAGCATTAGCATAAATCTGGGTTTCTCTAAATTCCTTCAGAAATACCTCTTTGCGTGAAGCCCATTTTAAAATATGAATTCAAAATGTAAGTGTTGAATACTGGGCAGATGTAGCAGCTATCATTGGATTTCACATAGTTTTGAATATAAGATGATGGTGCAGAGATACACGGACAAGGTTGTTCCAGTTATCTGATACTTCCTGCTACTGTTTAATAATGCACAAATAGTAAGGTAGGTAAAATGAAAATGGTAGAATTAAACTGTGTGAAGTGTGACTAAGTGGGTACTTCTTTATGGCAATGATTCCATAGGAGAGGAATGTTGTTGACGTTCTTCGCAAATGAAACAAATGGATCGCTTTACCCTGAGAGGTGTTTGTTGCAGCAGAAGACATTGTACACATTTATGGAGTGTTTAGTGAGTGAAAGTGCCGGGAGGTTTTATTACTTGTAATGGTATGTTCCACCTGCCCCTGCTACCCACAATTCCCTGCATGTAGCATATTCCATTCCACCGTGTGATGACATCTCACTTTCTTCCATAGCAACGACCTTCATGATTAGGAACCCAGTTCTGAAAATAAACCAACAGTGTGCTTTACGGTTTTGTTCACCTGTACCCACAGGAGGTGAACTGGCAGTAAATCCCTGGCTGTCCTTAGTAATTTGCCTTTTGCTGGCACTAATAGCACTTCTTGGGCTAGTGGTTGGAGTCCTAATGAATTGTCAAAATTGGGATGAAATATTAGCATCACTGTAGCATAATGAATAATTCCTGCCCAGCGCGATTGTTCGGCTGGCATCCTTTTCATGGACCAGGAAATGAATTATCTCTGCAAAGTGCTGCAGTAGGTATTCTTGAGGACTGTATGGTTTGGAGCAGGAGCCCTCATTTGGTGTGCCTTATAAGTGGATCTAAGCTGTTATGCTTCCTAACCAAAGGTACTTCGCATGCAGTGACATCAGCCCATCATTCACCCTTTTTGGTTCTGTAGAGGCAGGCTCCTGGTTGCTAAGACCCATTTCTGTTGAAGTGAAGGCATCCCTTGGTTGCAAGTTTATTTTCTCCGTGACAGGGTTTCTTAGCATATGAGCTAATGGGTCTGTTAGCTAAGGCAATGGTTTCCATACACAGCAGACTCAATGATCTCTGCTTTTTTTAAATGTGTCTGTTTTAAGTTTTCTGACCCTTTACACGCACATCCTCACATGCTCCTCTCTTGCCACTAGTTGCTAAAGGATGTTTGCTCATTGTTTATCACGAAGGTAATCACATCCAAAGAGCACTCTCCTTTCTGAAAGCATTGGTTTGAACGGTTCTGTTTTCCTCAGATGCTGATGACACTGAGAGAGCTACTGGTGCCCTTCAATTCAACATTCTGCCATCTTACCAGCCTAATCTGGACCCAGCATCTGGCTCAGGTAAACACTCAGCTTAGTTTAGTGTTTGCAATCCTGTTGACATACATTGCCATTTTTTGCATCTGGTGTTTTTATTCCTAGTTTTTTTTTCTTCAAAATTAATTTACTCTCCCAGAAACTTCCCATAGGAGAAATTACATGTGAACACGAGATATATTTTATATCCATCTCCAAGAGCAAACATAAGAAAGGTCACAGCTGTGATGAGGCCATCCAGCTCCAACAAGCTAATTTGTTTGGTAGCAGCTGATTCCTCACCAGTCCTTCAGGTTAGACTTTTCGATGGTTTTACTGCCATCCCACCAGGAGGTGTAGAAGAAATATCATTGCTTACAGTGAGTTTCAGTTTTCTGCTTCTACGCCTCCATTAACGATGCAGTGTTTGGGCATTGTGAGGATAATGTGCATGCAGATGTCTGTGTTGAGTAGCATGTATCTAGAAGTGCCATTCCTAAGAGCTGGGTGGCTTTCTTTCCATCACTGTCACGCTGACACGCTGAGGCAGTGCACAGTCGGAGAATATCTCCAGTCACATTCTTCAGCACACTACTTTTATTGTTATTGTTTTGTGTTTGTTTTCTAAAATAATGATACTGTACAATCATTACGTCTCAATGGCACAGTGGTGCAGTTTTCATTTTAAATCCAGTGTGCACGATTCACTGTGGAAATGATCCATTGTTCTTCCATTTGGGGAAGAAGCCTTTTTTCGCCAAGTTCAGCCTTTTCGGTTCTTCAGAATTGAGATCTCTCCTCAGGAACTTACAGGGACACAACATGGTAAAATTGTTTTCCAGTTGTGCTGTAGGTGCCGCCCACACCTACTGTCGGGTTGATCACAAGCCAATGTTATTAACCTCGATATTACAGTTTTGATGTGAGAGTGAGAAGGGCTTCTCTTGGCGCGATCTTGATGTAATGATAGTGAGCTGCTGCCTGCTGCTCGTCCCCAGGCCTCCCCGGCGGTGAGGAGAAAAGACTGCAGTCTGCTCACGCCAGCCAGCATGGCCGGCCCCTGAGGATGAACGCCTTTCACTATGATGGTAAAGAGCTGGCAGCTCGTGCGTTCTCATTGACGTTTCAGTAAAGATACAGTGCCCAGCGCTCTGGTTTAACCCTCCCGATTTCAGCATGTCGGCATGAGATACTTTTCTTTGTCTATTGACGGGTTCAAACCGCACTAGTAAAGTCGCACTGGGGGTTTCAACACCAGATTCCACATATCTAACATTGTTAGCCTCATGTTTATCACAGCCTTTTAGAGACTCCTCGTTTGGATGGAGAAAGCTAAACTGGATGTGTTGAGCTTCTCTGAAGGAGTGATGGAAGTCCCTTTTCCCCAAAGAGGTGTTCACGATGCTTCTGACGACAGGGCAGGGCAGCGAGGTGGAAGTGAGCTTGGAGAGTGCTGGAGAGCTCTTCCATCCACTCATCCTGTGCCATTTTGTGTTTTCAGGACCAGTGTCGGACCCAAATTCAAGTTGCCAGAATCTGGCGTTCAGATATGGCACCTGTAACAAAGAGAGCAGTTTCAATCCCTTCTTCTATGAGGACACTCTCCTGGTTGGTACAGCGTCGGGCCCCCAGTTTGTGACTGGATACATGAGCTTCGAGGAGAAGTACAGACAGGCAATGTGCTGCCCAGGTAAGCAATGGCATAGAGGAAAATGCTGTGAAATATTTATGTTCAGGATTGTTAAAATCTGCAGTTAATGAACGTCTCCAGCATTTTTCTCACCCCTATATTTTTTTAGACCTCTTGTTTTTAACAAGGAACATCAGAACAGTAATGAGATAAGCCAGAAACAATGCAACACGTGTAATAGGATTTCTCAGCCCTCCCCAGCCCCCACTACACTCACACCTGTGGTTTGTTTAATGGAAGTGACTGTTTCTGTGGATGTGTTATTAAAATCTTTTAAGGATAAAGTGCACCGTGGAAAAGCTGCACGAGTGAAAAATAATTATGCATGCCGCACATGAGCTCTTTTGTCTAAAAAAAATCTCTTGTGCAATCCTGCCCGATTTCACGTCCAGCATTGCAACGATTGTCTGATAAAGCAGAGTGCATGAGGACAGGCGAGCCTGAGGCATTTCAATTGCTTGCTCTCTTAGCTGGCACTCTTCGCTGCTGTGGGGAGAAGGACAACAGTGGCGCATCTCAAGGAAGAGGGTTGATTAATTTAATGACCACTGTTCTTGAGTCAGGAATCTTAATACGGACATAAGAGCATTTCCAAAAGAGAGGAGGCAGTCTGAGCCTGACCTGGGCTGCATGTGATCCCTGTATTAAAACCCAAGGAGTGAGAAGGACCAATCATGTAGGCATACAGTACAGCACCACTGAAACACAGCCTCATTCAGTAAGTCTTTGGAGTAATTATTTTCAGTACTATAAAGCATGTTTGTGATTTTGATATGCACTTGGGTTATTATTTATGAAAAACATACTGAAAAAATGGATCACCGAGCATTTTTGCATAATGTTTACACCCTCCCTGGCTTCAGTACGTACTAATTGTTATTCAGTAACGTGTTGACCCACCCCCTGACAAAATACTTCATCAGCAGACTTGAGCTGCATTGTAAACTTATGGGAGGAAGTGTGTCAGCGTGGCATCAGAGACCTGTGAATAGACGGGTACACCTCGAACCTGGTGCAGTTTGTGTTGTTTCAAGCACTGTCCTCGCATGCGAATGGCCTTTCACTCCAGAGCCCCTGCTGATCAACCCCGCTAATGACAAATATTCATCCGCATCCTGAACAAAATGGTAGTGCATCTGCTCCAGGAAAGATTTCTAATTTCTTGGTGTTGATTTTGTGAAATGTCTATTTATATGCTCAGTGTAGTTTGTTTTTGTACATGCATGCGATGCTCTTCACTTTGCAGTAGGCTCAAATGGATCTGGGAGTAAAGCATCCTGCAGCTCTCCCATTTGAAGCCAAAGAACAGAGATGTGCAGGAAATGTACAAATACGGTACATGTGTAAAAGCATTCTCCACACTGTGCTGATAGCATGATGGTTTTTTTTTTACTTGGTGGGATCACACTTGCAATGGGTTTGAAGAGCTGTGAATTTCCTTCTGTATTGGGTTAGTAACAGTTTAAGCTTTGCTCTTACTCGGTGTCATTTTCTATCCACAGGTCCAGATTTCAGTCGGATGAGAGTTTATAATACTTGCCATTTGCAGCTGACTCAGGTTAGGACCAGTAACCATTGTGTGATGAGGCAGAGACCAGCCAGGAGGCAGTTTGCTCCCTACAGCCAGCATGGGTTTCATTCCCGTTGGAGGTGCTGACTCAGCGGGGTGTCCCGGCCAGACGGACACCTGTCCCAGCTTTGTGTTGAGAATCATTTACACCTCTGTTATATTGTCAAACTTTTTTTACACGTTTTGGCTGTATGATTACCTGTTTTTGCACTTAAGAATTTTTATCTTATCATGAGATACTTTTTGATTTGCAGAATGTGATTTCTTATAAATGTTTAGACTTAACAGCTGCTCTGTGTTCTGAAAACAGGGGTGTGTGAATCATGCCCAGTGTTTTATACCTCCTTTTACAGGAAATGCATGTGCTGTCCTCTGCGTAGTTCTACCATTTCTGTCTCCATTTCAGATAAACCTTGCGAACTTCAGCAGATGAGCCTGTCTGGCAGATAACTCTGTGCCTTTAAAGTACAAATCGGGCCAGATCCATGCCTTCCGGGGTCTGTGTTGATCCCAGGTGTCAAAACTAGAAGTTGATCATTGTTAACTTCAGAAATGGAAAATGCGTAAAATTTTGGAAAAGGGTGGCGTTTGTGTGTTTTTCATGCTGTAGCTAAAGGGAATTGTGTTCGTATGGAGAATGTGGAAGTGGTTGTTGTATAGTGGGCTATTCAGGCTAGAGTGACTGGAGGGACAAATACAGAACCCTGTCCCAATTTTCTTCTAAATATACATTTGATTTTCTTCTGAGGCCATCAGGCCTTGTGTCAATTACATGTATAATTAAAGCATTTTTATGATAGTATATGGTTGCTGTTTTGCATTTTGTGTTTTTCCTTTAACCCCTGAGACCTCTTGGTGGTGGCAGTGAACCCCACGAAGCCCAGCTCTGGTTCAGGGGCTCCGCAGTGTGAAATCCCAAGGTCTGTAAGGGAAAGCAGTTGCCTTAACACACCACAGCTCCAGAAGAGGCTGGTTTACAGGCCAGTCAGCGGTCCGGACTGAGCACAGGAATGACCTGAATGGACACTTCTCTCAAAAGACGCCTGACAAACAGAGGGGGATTTGCATCTCGTCTTGCCTGTGACTGTATGACGCATCAGGTGAGGCATTGTTGAGAGACACCTGGGGGTTAATTCTCCTGTAAATTGCAGAGAGTTAAGCTGCTTGCATTATCTTCATAGATGTACTAATGAGCTCAAGTTATGATTAAACGCTCTTGAATGTGAGAAACAGTTTTTCAAAAGAAAACATTTAAAAAGCGACTTAAATTTTAAATAAATAGGATTGTTTTTTTTAGTAAAGTACCATCAAGTTCAAGTTTGTCATATGTACCTGAGTATGATGAGAAGTTTACTTGCGTGATTTCCTCACATGACAAATGACATAAAGGATGATATAGCACTGACATTGAAAATAACATCACAAATGATATTACAATTCTTCAAGACAGGAACAGAGTAGCAGCTATAATTTTAACCAGCATTTAGATACAGGTAGCAGCTGAGTGCAAGATTTGCTCTTTGCAAAATTCATATGCAAAATGTGTGAAATTCAGCAGTGGCAGTATTTTCAGTTCAGTGCAAAACAGAGTAGTGTAAGTCAGGGGAGGATTTAAGAGAAGTTTAGGAGTCTTTTGGCTGTGGGATAGAAGCTTTCTTTGGACCTGGAGGTCTGAGGTTTATACTCCGTGATTATGTCATTCACCCTTCTGTGGCAGCGCAGGGTGAAGATGGTCTGGATAGAAGGGAGTTCTGTACCAGTGACGGCCTCGACTGTCTCCACCACCGCCTGTAATTTTTTTTTTTACGGTCATCAGCTGAGTGATTGCCATACCAACCTGTCATGTATCCATTGAGAAGGCTTTGTATAGTGCATCTGAAGAAATGCGTGAGTTTGTGAAGACACACCAAATCTCCCGAGTCTCCTGAGGAAGTGGAGGCGCTGGTGTGCTGCCCTGATGACGTCGTCTATGTGATGGGGCCAGGTCAGATGTCCACATCCACAGCAGCCTCACTGATCTAGACAGGCACGGCCACCTCCCAGCTTCCTGAAGCCAACAACCAGTGTCTCGGTTTTGCTGACGTTGAGGGAAAGGTTGTTGTCCTGGCACCAGACCACCAGTCCCTGACCTCTTTCCTGTATTCTGTTTCATCATTTTTTGTGATCGGACCTACAGTGATAGTGTCGTCAGGGAACTGAAGGATGGAGTCGGAGCAGTGTCTAGCCACACAGTGAACTGGGAGTGGATCGGGGGACTGAGCACACCGCCTGGTGAAGGTGTTCATATTGTCTAAATCAGCCAAACCAGAGTGCAGTGCAAGGGAGATGTGGACCTATTGTTTCTGTGTGCAAACGGAAGTGGATCAAGATTGTCTGTGAAGCCAGAGTTAATGTGCGTCTATATTCCATATTCTGATGCACATTTTCTCATGGTTTAGTATTCCATATCTTAAAGTCTTTGCTCTGTGTTGCAGCTAAACTTGATCACTTCCAGATGTTGCCCTGCATGCCACTCCCATGTGGCCTCTCTGGGACGGGACGCTTGGTCTGTTGACCCTGGGAACATAACTTTTTCATTTGCCACTGGCTAATGTAGGCCACTAATCTGCACAAGATTGGGAGACTGTTTTTTGCGCCTTTATAAAAACGAGGAGGTTACAGACGTATCCAGGAAAATACAAGGAGTCGTTTGTTTAGCTTTTCTTGGAAAGTAGTGTAAACATGATCCAGGAAAAGCCTGATATGTTACAGTCATTTCTGTATTAGCGTGATTAAGTATTCTTTAACTTGAATGCAGTGCTGCTCTTTTGTTTATTCACTGTTAAAGCATATTAGCTCTTTTTCTTTTATTCCAGTACCAGGGAAAAAAATACCAGAGTTCATTTTAATTTATTCAGGTATTTATTCAAATACGGTATTCTTGTAAAAAAAACACTATTCTTTAAATATACTTTGGGCTACGTGAACAATTGAGTAGCTGTATTAAGATATCCAAAAGCAATTTAAACAACATACTAAAGGACATTGGTGATGCTCATTATTACTATTTTGATAAGTTTACATATTAAATCTGAGTGATTGAAAGAAATGCTATCAAGTATTTTATTCTATACCGGCATTACTGTTGACCTGGGCATATTTAAACAATTGAGGTAGAGAGCAGCAGCAGCATCAGTAGGCTGCAAATGGACAAGTAAGAGGTTTATTCCAGCTGAAAAGAGAAGAAAGAAAACACAATGTTTCGGCCGTGGAGCCATCTTCAGGTGTGAGAGTGTGGCAGTTTTCCTTTTAAAAGAAACTAACAAGAAAGCTAAAACTTTCTTAGCATATAAGAAATAAGACTATTGATAAGATGCCCTTTGTGGCATAGAGCGGTTTGTAACTGAGGCTCTTTGCTTTTTAATTTGATGGTGAACCTCCGGTTTATTCTTGTACTTGAGATTTTAAAATTATGCCTCTTTCCATTATGAAAATAGTCTATTGCAGCTAAATAAAAAGATATGAGTCAGATTTTAATGAGTGTGCATTTATGTTAATATACCGTCTGTTCTGGGCTACCGAAGAAAGATATAAGATGTGAAAAAGGGGTTAACTGATTTCTTTCTGCACAAAGATTTCTTGTGACACAAGACATTCCATGCTTAAGCACTTTTGAGTTATGGCAGGGATGGGAGGTAACCGATAAGAGAATCCAAGTGCAAGACAGAGCCTCCCTAACTAAGGAAAGATGAAAGTGGTCAAGGTCTTGGGAATGCCCAACCACAGGTGACCTCCCCCCATTACCATGGTAACAATTTGCTTCAGAAACGGCTGAAGTTTTGCTATATAAACTGGAATTTCTGTACCTACTGTATATTCCGACCAACACTTTGATCTTATTGTTCCTTGCATGCAATAAGCTTTTTTGTCTGTTACAACAGCTCCCAGTCCTGCAAGAAAACTGTCCAATTCAAATTCGCGGTTTGTAGGAGCACTCAAGGAGCTTCCACTGGTGGTCCCAGCAGATTCAAGGAGCTTCCCCTGTTGGTCCCAGCAGATTCCATGAAAACCCCGGCTTAATTGAATTTGGGATTTTTAAAACCTGGCGAACACTTGAATAGAACAAATGTGATGTTGAAGAACTTCCATCAATTTTGTTTGCTGTTGGAGCTGTATACCATTGATTTTGTGTAATTTGCCAGTGGTAGTGCTGCTAACAACAGTGCTCCAAGTTAATCAGCAACCATGAGACCCTCTGTTTGTCCAACACTGAAAGCAGAGATTTCACGGAGGTCACATGTCTCCTGCCATAGGATATCACCCATATAACTCGATGAGCTGTGGCTTCTTTTTTCGAGCTGCTCCTGGATAGTCAAAGCTGGGCCAGTTTTAACTGACAGATTGTGACTGCGAGTCTGGGCAAATCAAGAATTACATCATTGGCTTTGCATTGACATTGCTGGAGGAGGAGAATATTAGATGTTCCCCTTCAATGTTCGCATTTGTTTCAGGACATGATCTTTATTGATGAAATCTATTGCTCTGGCACAAGAATTGAAGCACTTCTGTATGATCAGGAAACAAAGAGTCTTTCCTGGGTTGTGGGATATCTGTAGGAAGATTGTTCTCCTTGAATGAGCTGCAGACAGACAATGGTTGAAAGAGAGCTCTTTCAACAAATGTTGAGACCAGACACTGATGAAAGAACAACAAGCCCTATAAGAGGAAGCACGATGGAAAAATATAGGTGTTCAAAGAGTTAAAGAATTTGGAAGTAAAACTGGAATACAAGATTTCACATGTAGGACTTCAGCACTACAATAGGTTTCAGAGACTGAGAGAATATCATAGTGCTTCAACTGAAGAGCTGATATAATGAAGCATGCAATGAAGCATGTCTTGTCTGTAAATTAAAGACCAGATAAATGTTTGTTCAACATTGTTTTTTGTAGCTCCTAAGGTTAGAAGCTCCCATTCAGTTGGATGTAACAAAAATAATTGGTAAGTCTTGATTTTACAAAGTCAGACACAGTGTAAGCTGGATCTCCCGAATAACACTGTTTCTCAAACACCCAACCTGGCCTGTTCCCAATATATTGTAATTTGAGCTGGTATTGCAGAATATGATACATGCTGTAATCTTTATAGCATAGGGATACCCACTACATTGACAGGTAGGTCTCAGGAAGCCTGTAAAGGCAGTGGAGCTGGGATTGTTCACCAGTGAAATAAGTCTCTTAAAAGTCCTACTGAATAAATCTTAGTCTCAATTTATTAAAAAAAGACACAGTGCTCCTTAATAATAAATCTTTATTATTAGTGTACGGTTACAGTACAGCATGACCAATGTGTGGTCTAAGATACACCATATTGAATGTAGTGCTTCAGCACATGCACACACACAGGAGGCATGGGAATGGGAGGTGGGCTTGCTATCAGGAATTTGCTGATCTAATCTCAGACGCAGTCAGTGCTGTCTCAGTATTAGGAAGCTGATGGAAGTGATAAGCTGCAAACAAAGAAAAGATGGGCATGTAGAAAGAAAAGTTCTTTGGCAAGTGTAACGTATGCTGGAACGTGCTACTGTACATACAAATGATCTAATATCGAAGAGTAAGACATCTTAATAAGGCTTTACTGAAAAAGCTGATTATCTAAGGCTGTTGCATCATTTTACTCATCACCAGAGAATCGCTAGACATTCTCCTGCAGGTTCTCATTTTACTCAGCCCAGAGTGTTGGTTGAATACAAAATGATCTTCTACCCTGAAAGAAATATTAACCTAAGGGATACAGTGTTATACATGTTTTACCTATGCATAGGTACTTATGCAACCTATGCATTTTTTCCCTGTCAACTACAAACATCATACTGCTGGAGATTCCGATTTAAAGCTGTCCTGTGTCAAACTCATGACTTGCGAGAGCACTGAATGTGGCCACTGTAAGACCACTGAACCTTACTTTTCTAGGGGCAAAGACCATTAAACAGACTGCAAAACAGTTTTCCATATATAACTGAAAGTCATGTGTACAGTCTGAATGTTGATAGTGACTTCTCATTTTCATGTCAAACTTAAAAATGAGCCTTCAGTAGATCTACTCTGTTAAACTACAGTGGAGTAGACTACTCATAATGAAATGTGGTGCTGTGGTGCTACATTTCCCTATGAAGCGTTATTAATTTTATATCTTCTTATCCTCTGTTTTGTGAAGCTACTGAACAGACAAAGGAAGCAGTTTTCAGTCAAAGATACTATGAAGGTACAGTAAATACTGCACATGTCCATCTTTTAATGTTACAACTGTGAACTGAATAATCCTGTATTTGCAGATTTTTACAAAGGAAACCTCCCATGTCAGCTCACCCCTGCTTAACAATTAGTAATAAGTGCCATGCAACTGAAAAGCATTTTGCTTAGTTTTAAAATCTCAACTTCAAAAGACTTGAATCGAACTACAAGGGTTTGAGGCTGCGTAACAAACACCAGGTGAATAAGAATACTTAACAGCTTTATTTCCTTCAAGAATCAACTTAATAAATCTGGTCACTTAAATACTTAAGTTCATTCAAGACATAAGGAACACCCTTCCTACACAAAGCAAGGATTTTAGCCTTTTCCATGCAACTGCTTGAGTGAACACTCTTATGATCAGTACACTTTTCTGAAACAAATGAACGCATTTCTCAAATAAAAAGACTACAGTAAATAAATTAATAACTTCAGTTTCAGATGCAGCTACCTCCACTCATATGGAAATAACCATTAACTAGACAAGCCATTGGACTGGTGGTATAACGTGCTGAAAAGACATTTTCAGGAATGCAATGTCCTGGCCTCTGATGAAACATAAAGGACTTTTTTGCCAATGAGTATTTTTAACATGGAATAAAGAATAAAGTACATTTTCACTGTTATGAGTAGTTCTGAGATACCCTTTGACTAAACAGAGTATAACAGATGTGATGGGTATCACATCAATTAAACAATTTCACAATTTAGTTCACATCAAGATTCAGTAAAAATGTAGAATCTAGACTAAATCTGAAGTTGTGGCGATGGGAAACTTTTTAAAAACATATGATGGTGTTTCATGAATAACGCAGATTTTATTTTTCTTTTCGATTTTGTTCGCTAAAATTACTTCTAAAGAAAAAACTCTATGTTGCTGAACTATATTGACGAAATCCGAGTGGTCCCAAACTTGAGGGGTGCTGTGAAGAGCAGCTCTGAAGAATCGGCGCTGTGGAGGAGAACAGGCTCAGCCCGCGGGGTCTGGGAAGAGCCGGGCTGGCGGGGGCCTGGCGGGGGCCTAGGAGCCTAGGAGCCGGTGCACTTTGTGCAGCTGCGGCTGCGACAGCACAAGCTTGTGCACCTGCTCCTGTCCCTTAGGGCACGGGACCATCACCTTCCCAACGTACACCATGTCCCCCTTCTTCTCCTCCTTGGCCTGCAGAGACACAACAGTGAGGCTCAGGCTGAAACGTCTCATTGACATCGGAACCGGTACCACCGATCCTACTACTGTTGTCTCAAATCCTTCATTTCTGGGGTAAACATTCATATATTACAGCAATACGGTGCTCATCATATTACTATAATCACTTTACACTACCATATGATAGGGTGCCGCACAGCGCAGCCGGCAGCAGCAATCTCTTCTCTGTACAGTAGCGTCTTTGTTGGTTTATTTCTTCGTGTTACTGTTCAGTTTATAGTTGGTGAGCAAACAAGTTTAAATTTATAAGGGACTATTTTTTGCTGGTCTGGGGAAGTTTTTAGAGATGGTAGTGAGCCAATCAAATAGAACACAATCCAGTCTGGAACATCTGTTGGGCCAATACTGAGACGCTGAGGTTTTTCAACAAAGTATTCACTTTCCTGCTTTCCTGCTGAGACAGCACAATGAATATTTTGACACTGATAATGAGACATCTACACACGTCAGAGAGAGAGAGGAAAGAAAGGCGGTGTGTGCCAAAGACTCAAGAAACTTAAACAAATCGCGTACTGATCTCTTCCTTCCATTATCCTGGCTGACACGCCACCGCTCCGGAGTGAAACAGACAAGCAGCGAGCCCAGGCCAAATGGTTACCAGAGGACGGAGATGCCTGCCTTTTGGCGTTCACAGCAACACGGCAAAAAGAGCAGGATAAAGATACCGATGTGCAAACCAACAGCTTTGGAGCGGCTGTGCGCTGGGAGCAAGATGCCCATGACTGGTATGGGTCATGGGAGAGGTATCTGTTCGGACACAAGCGCTGGCGCAACACCGTGGTCAGGAGAGGAAGTGTTTACAAGCCTGACGTCCAGCCCCTATCAGTCCCACTGCATCCATTTTACCTCCAGAGAGAGTCTCCTCAAGTTTGTGTAGGTGGGGTCTATATTCAATGTAATAAAGTCGGCGGAGAGAGTAGCCCGGACTGTTCAGTATTTTCAAAACAACTTCCCCAGTGCTCCTGGTTTTATCAAGGGAGATCTAAACCACTGTACCCTACGAAGGTCACTTATTCGTTCTCATGAATGTGTCACCTGTCCAATGAGGCTTAACAGGATATTGGACTTGTGTTCCGGATCAGTGAGAGGCATATAAATCCACTGTTCAAGCTCCACGGGTTCACCTGACCACAGTGCCGTGTGAGTGGTTTTCACCCACAAGACTGCTCTGAAGAGAAGTGAAGTCCAGCGCACGGCCTTCTGATCGGGATCGAGGACTCTGTGCAGCGACTGCAGGACTGCTAGCAGTGCACTGATTGGCTCACGTTCAAGCATTCAAGTTCTCATCTTGACGAACAATTACTAGTTATGTGGTAGTTTGCTCTAAAATCTTGTATTCGCTAATGACACGCCCCAGGTGACAAAATCTCTCTCATCAGCTCTAAACAGGAATAAAAAAACATTCACCAAGGGGATGTTGATTTGAGTAGGGGGGGCTCCAAAAGCATGTTAAAGGTGAGATTAAGTTGGCTAAAGCAAGATATGAGGATAGAGTGGAGGGTGAAATGGGTAAAGGTCATTTGTGCTCTGCGTGGTGGGAATGTGTAAGAAGGGGTGGGGTGGAAAAACAGTTGCTGACTATGCAGATTAATTGAATCAGTTTTATCTTCGGCTTGACTTCTATAACTTTAAGGTTTGTAAATTGTTAATTCATGTTAGAGAGAGGAAGTGTCCTGGTCCTGCTTCTTTTGGGGGTAGGGTTTTGAAAAGGTTTGTTATAGACAGCCGTGTGGCATTTTTTGCTGTTTTTTCCTACTGTCATGAAATCAGAAAAAGGTTCCTAGGATCTGTAAAGCATCAGTTGTGGTCCTAGTGGCAAAAGTCAAATCCCCTATGATTACAGCAGCCCTCACCTCACTGGTTATGAAAACTTTCTTTTAGGGCAGACAGAGGTGTGGAAAATGCCACAATATGTAACATGCCTTCTTGACCTTAGCCTCCAGCATCTTGAGGAAAATAAGACTCAGGATATGTTGATATATTGAATGTGTTTTTTTTTTGTATTTTATTGTATTTATCCTTATTTACTGGCAACTAAGGTATTTTCTAATATTGTTATTGATCTTAATGTTGTGGGCAGAGTTACTGATTTCCTTACTGATAGAACTCAGGCCAATACACTGTATTCTTCCACTGGTTCGCCCCAGGGATGTGTATCGTCTCCCTAACTCTGCTGTGTGAACAACCGATTGGATTGTAAGAGTTATCACCACTCAAGGCACACAATTACATTTGCAGCCGACTCTGTTACTGTTAGTTTGCTGCAAGCAGATGACTTGGACCACTTGTAGATGGGGTTGCCACTTGGCGTGAATAAAAGACATGCCAACTGATTTCAGGAAGAACCCTCAGACCTTCACTCAAACCTGCATCGGGGAGAATCAGTGGAGGTGGTAGGTAAAAACATGTATTTGAGGACTGCGCTGGACTGCAAGTCAAATGTTGAGGCAGATGTTAATTCTATTTTCAAAAAAAGGGGCCATTTTATCAGTAGGTCTTCTTTATACCATCTGCTGCTGTAAAACAAGTCGCCCCCTGGGCATAATAAAGTCTCTCTCGCAAAATGTCAATGCTGTTTTGTTGATACAGATTGGAACACTGACTTCTTCCAACACCGCTAGAAAATACCTAGAAGAATCCTAAAATATACAATTTTACCAGATTGCATGGCTTAAAACACTTTTCAGAGTTGCTTTTTGTCTTGCAGCACTGTGGGAGATTAGGAAAATATGTCCATATACTTAAGCACATTGGTGTTTCCGATTCCCTCAAAGCTTTGATTTCAGAGGACTGAACAATAAGGCACTGTGTGCTTCACACTTTTTTCTTTTTGTGAGACTCAAGAACACCTGCTCTGAAAAATATTTCCAGTCTGCAATCTTGTACTTTTAGTTTAAAAAAGAATATAACCCTGCACAACGTTTTCAAGATGAAAGCTTGTGTGGCTTTGTATAGTTTTGTGAGCACAGCATTTTAGTCCTCCAGGAGCTAGCCATGTTTCAAAAAGCCTGCAAGACATCTCAAGACAAGGTAATAAGCAGGAAAGTTTTCCTTTTGAAAAGCATGTAGCATAACATTAGGGCAAATAATATTTTTATATTCTGTCACAGCTTAAGATCTTTAACCCAAAAAAATTATCTGATGTTCTCTCACCATCAGCTTTGTAAAGAGCACTTTTTATGTTTTTTGCATAATGTTAAGACTTTTAAAATCTATTTTTCTGCATATGTATTTGAATTTTGTTTGTTATATCCTTGCTTGGTTTAAATTTCATCCCTGACAGTTAAAATAATTTAACAGGAGATATCAGATTGCTACACATGAAAATTATTCTTGGCTTTGTGATCAAGAGGCACAACAAAGACCCTTTATGCTGCCTGCACTGTTTTTCTTGATAAGTCATCAGTTTCAGTGATTGTTTGACCAAGGAAAAGGCAAAATGATCCCAAATTAAATAATTACTGATTAAACAATCGTTAAAAAAGCAATGGAAGTCAGAGGTTTTGGGCTCACTGTCACTTGCAGCAAGTACTTTTTTTCCCATTGACTCTGAGTTTAAAAAATGGCCATTTGTTTTTACATCCATTCCTGCAAAGACTAAGAGTGTTTGGAGTTCGACAGGAAGCAATGCTACTCTTTTACCGTGCTGTAATCGAGAGCATTATGTATATGGGATTACAGTGTGGTTTGGTAATCTATCGGTTCATTTTAAATCGCAAATCACCCGCCTCATCCAGACAGCTTTGAAGGTCATGGGAGTGAAACAGCACCCCTCCCTGCAGAAAAATCCCTCATCAAACAGGCAGGAAAAATTATATCAGATCCTTCCCATAACCTCAATTCTGAATATCAACTTCTTCCTTCTGGCAAACGTTTTAGGGTTCCCAAATGTAAGTCAGATACAAACCTTCTTTTGTTCCACTATCCATTAAAGCTGTCAACGCAAATGTCAAGGATAAACACAATTTTGACTCTTACAACCCACTTGAGTGCAATACTGTATGTTTTGTGATGTGTTATAAATGTTACATGTTGCTATGTGTTATACTGTACAAGTGCAATAGACTGATGTGCAATGTTTTTCTTCTCTTCTTTTTTTTTCTTTTGCATCCTATTTCAATGTACAGAAGTGCTGGGTGTCCATACAAAATTTCCCCCAGGGGACAATAAAATCTTATCTTATCCCTTGATAATGCAGTACTTTATGAACAGAAGGTTTCACGAGACTGAGGCAGGCTGTCAGAACCAGGTGCCAGACTCCTGATACTAGCCAGCGCGCTGCAGGTCATCTCTTCATGCTCACCTTGATGAAGGATGAGGAGGGGAAGGTGGCGAAGTCTGAGGGCACACGACCACCTGGCCTCTGTGACACCACATGCTCCACAACTTCATCCTGAGGTGGAAAAATGACGTCAATACTCTTCTAATGTCATTGATGAAACACAAACGACAGAACTGTCCATTGAGAAGGCATATCAACCTGATGCCACCCTGTGATTACCCCTCAACCCAACACAGTAATACTCACAGACAACCATCTACTAACGTCTGTGGTATTAAATAAAGAAACGGCGAGCATACCAAGAATTAGGTTTTGGTAAATCCAATGAATTTTCTCACAATCCCTTGTGAGTTGTTCTGAAGCAAATACATCAACCAAATGACAGTGAGCTGGAGCCAGACACCAGCACATATTAAAGGATGCAAACAAGAGGAGCTTGTCGGCAGTTTAGTAGCTGAGAGCAATTTAAATTTAATTGCCCAGCCATTTCAGTTTATTTTTCCAGCTTCTGCATTACCTTCAGCCTGTCCAGCGTGTCACTCAGGGACTTGAGGCGAGCCGTTTGTTCCAGCAGCTGCACGCTGGGGCTCACTGCAGGACAAGGGAGAGGGGATGATCAGTACTGTGCCCATTGAAAAGAACAACGCAAACCTGCTTCAGCAGTCAAGCCCCCGCTGCCACACAGGGCCCACCACAAGCACTGGTGGAGGGAACAGGAATACGCATACTGGGAACCGACCTCATACTAAGCAACCGCTACTGAAGTGATTCTTAGATACTTTTTTCCCCAAATATTTTATATTTGTTCTGACTGTGCATTTTCGAGTCTTGGCTGACAGTTAAACCCCCCCCAAAAAAGGCAACGGATTGCCATGCGGGACGTTTCCAGTGCCAGCTGGAGAAGAACACACCCCTCTGGAAGAACAGCACTGCTTGCACAGCTGGCCAAGAGCGAGCACGCCTGTGACCCCCGGATCGTGAGCTCATCCTGCACCCCTGCACCACCTGCACTCTCTTCACCAGAGACGCCCTCACAACACCCTAATGCTACACTTATCCGAGACCTTCTCATGCTTTAAAGCTGACTAAAACGGCCCAGTACCACAAACCAATTATACACGAGTTTTCAATAATTTTGCAAATTAAGTCAGAAATAAATGATCAAACAGAACTGTCCTAGCTTCATGGATTAATGAAATGTGTTGCCCTGCTTCCTTCCTTGGTTGAAAAGGGTCATTTACAGGGAAGAAAGAGTGTATTTGCTACACAGAAAGGGGCCTTAGCCTAGAATCCTGCCCAAGACCCAGTATTACCCACCATATTAACATGCTTTCACACGACTGAAAGAAATATTGAGACAAACTACCACTAACTTTGACCATTAATGAATTACTTGTCATCCACTGTTTTCCACTTCAGAATTGCGTTTTGGAAAGTTTTGGAAAGTTCACTGACCTTTTAAACCTGTATCTGGAATTAACTACAGGTGTGGACCCACACATAGACACCTTGTGTATGTTGTATCCACACGACAGGCCAGGGAGAGCTTTTCTCAATAGCCCATCCAAAGAAAACCCCTCGACTCTGGCCTGAGGAGCTGAGCTGAGCCGTGTGTGTCAGCAACAATTCCAACGCACATGCACATACGGCAATAAACCCCTGGACTTTCTCCACTCGCAGTCCTCACCTGGCGTCTTGCCGGTGATGTCCACCACCTTGGTGTTGGCGCTCATCTGCAGCAGCGTCTCCAGCAGCTGGTTGGTCTTGCGGTAGAGGGCACTGGAGAGCACCTCTGTCCTCACGCCCTCCTTCAGCGGCAGCTTGGAGACGCACAGAGGCGGCAGGGAGGCCAGCTGGGTGCTCATCTTCTCAGCCTGCAGTCAAGTGGACAAACCCACACACAAAAGCCTGAGGCAGGCAGCACAGGCGACACAATGTACCCTCACACCAGGCCGTCACAGACAGCGGAGCTCTGACTTCGATCAAACTGGGAAAACAAGTGATCCAGGTATTCCATAAAACTAAAAATACTCTTCAACGACAGCAGTCTCTTCAAGATTCATAAAAAAACTAAGCATGAATGACACATGCCTATGAACAAAGTGAAAGTGACTACAACTCTGCAACTTTCAGAGTGCGTCACAAGACATTTAAACAAAAATGTTGACAGGGAAAATGTACCCTGAACATCTGTGGGCCCAAAGTGTGAGTATATCTGTATTACCAATGACTTTCAGCTGATCACACTTACTTTCTGCCCAGTATTCCCTGTGCTACGGAGGAACTGGACTGCAGCTGTACCAGCTGCACATCTGTTTAGCTAACTGAAACACAGCAATCGGTTTCTAAGCTCTCAGCAGGTCGGCACAGCGATTAGAGACTCCAGGACAATGTACTGTGCCAAAACAAAGAAGTGAGAAAATCCTTAAAGATTTTTTTTTACCTCCTGAATTTCCTTACTCCGTTTTTACCCTTGGCAAGTACTTATAGTGCCAAGTTGAACATAAGGTTAAACACCACATTCCTCTTTCTAAAGAAGCATTCAAAACATTAGTCTCAGTTATAAATCAGGACCACACAGCTGCTGATATGTCATATGAAGTAATGTACTCGGCTGTTTTTCAATTTAGAACTGCCAGTAATCTGCACTGCTGTGTAATTATCACATCTCCATTGCGATACATCTGGATAACTGACATTCAACACAAAATTCTGGCAAAATTATAATTTCATAAGAATAAATAAGTATGCACATGTGTACACACAGCACCATGCAGTGAGCTGACCTGGACCTAAAAGCAAATTCAAACCCCGCTGGACTGCTTCAAACTGAAACCAAGGGGTCACCAGGGCATAGAAAAGAAATGGGTTCAAGCTCAGCTCCTTCTACTTGAGAATATTCTCTCTGTAATATTCTGTCCTGTATGGCAAGAAAGTTTTCCTCTCTTATATAGAAAGTTTCATTGACAAACGATCTTGTCTAAACTGCAACTATGTAGCCCCCAGCCTGGGACATGAAATCTTCTCCACACCTGCCGAGAACAACTCTCTAGGAGCTGCTCCAGAGATAGCTGAACCACCAATCCAGGAGACAGCGGATTCTGTCCTGGCGGCGGAACAAGGGACCAGCTCTGCGCGGTCCCACAGATATTTCAGAAGTCGTGGGGCTGGGTTGCCAGTCCAGGACTGGCCGGAGAGATAAGAGCACATGAGCGCTTGCGAATACCTGGGAGTGTCCTGGGATGAGCTGGAATGACTTTGCAATCAAAATATACTTTGCTGTCAATTTGCTGTGTTACTGTCAATTGTTATCTGCAAAATGCGGACAGAGGAGGTGAGCCTAACCTCGCAATTATCGGCATTGAAAGCTCCTCTCTTTCATAGTTAAAGCTGACGGATTTTGTTCATAACTGGAGTTGCTCTGCTATTTCTTTGCTACCATAGGAAATCAGCTACTACATAGTGATGGAACAAAAGGCTCCATCCGGAACATATCAATTATTGTTGTTCTCAAGCTAGAGGCCGGGTCAAAGAGTTTTTACAATGGCCATCAATTTTCTGCACTGGGAGCCCCTGCTTACCTTAAGACGGTTGTTCTCGTTCTTGAGGTTCTTGATGCTGAGGCGCTGGGCCTCAATCTGCTGCTGAAGGAGAGGAGAGTCGATGACTTGCATGGGGCCAGCACCCATCCCCATCGCGGGCACAGTGCCTCCTGTGAAGAACAGCACGCATCCCGGTGAGCATCACCACGCTCCAGCTCCATCACGAACCAGTGAGCGCGGAGACTGGTGCCCACAGGTCACTGAGCTTCAGACCTACTACCAGGTGGAAATCCAATATTCAGTTCTAATTCAAAGGCCACTGAGTATGACATTTTTCACTTGGCAGTCTGCTCGCAAGGGTCATGCATAGACCACAGCTATCAGCTTCAGCACAGAAAGTCACCTATTCTAGAAAACATGCTAGCACATAGTCGAGCCACATGTGCAACCCAGACTACATTTAACAAGAAACATCAGTTCTGTGGCTTAACCACTCAAACTTAGATCTGTCACAGGAACTAATTCACCTTTGAAGATAAACAGAACTCTAAGACCATTTGAAACAGCAAAATGTCCTCACTTTAGGTAGAAGTGAATTAATTTCAACCATTGACAGTGTCTTATTCAACCTTGGCAGAAAATAAAGAACCTACGTGTTGCTTTTAAAAGAAGCACCTGTATGATTTTAATTTTACTTTCCAAAAATGAAGAGAATGCGGAAACTTTTGCCAACATGCAATCTGCTTTGTAAAGCAAAATTCAACATCTCAACATGCAAATATGGTACTTTGAATACCCCTACTTAGTATTATCCATTAGTGTATTTTATTAAAGCACTGCTACTGAGAAATTCACTGTACAGCATGACTCCCCTGGGGGGGCAGAGGCAGGCAGGTGTGATGACAGGCAGATGAACTATAGCTGGCAATGGATACAATACCTTTCTGCTGTTCATCTGCAGATTGAAGAGGGGACAGCATTGAGGAGAAGGGGAATATAGAAAGACAGTTAAATCAAAGCAGAGGTTAGGTGGAGACTCTGTTCTTGTGTTGTGATAATGCAGAATATAGCTTGTTAAGAAGCAGAGTTTAGAAGCATATTTGAAGCGATAGTCTTTGATACAAAAAAGATTAAAACATAGCATAAGCTTGCCTAAGAAACACGTGAAGACTCATTAATTGGCATGTCATAATTGGGTTTGGCATTTACCATTAAGAGAAGATAGAACTGGAGATGTAATAATGCTAAACTGAAATCAATATGAAAACATTTAACTCAGTGTACGCATCTGTAAAATGAAGGTAGGATTTTGGATGCATGCCTATTACTCTGCATTTAAGTTACTATTACATTGGAAAAGGCTACTTAGTTCATTAATTTTCATAATCGCAAAATAATCACATACGTTTGTGCTGCACAGAAATGGAAATTTATCCATAGCAAAGATCTTAGTGTTACTTTTCCTGATAGTTCTTCCCTATAGTAGGAGATTAACTACTTTTTAATTCTAAATGAAAAATCATAACAAGCACCAGCTTAGTCATGGTTATGAGGTACCTGAGATACTGGGGGATTTTTTTAATTTTGTGAAGGATTTCCTGAGCTAGATTCTTTATCGACACAAGTCAACTGTTATGCATGTGAAGGATCACAGAAGAAGGACCAGTCCTGAATACAGCTTCAGAGGCGCTCTGGTTCCTCCATCTGAGCCCACAGACCTGTCCTCGGCTCTGTGTAAGAGAGCCCCTGGACGGCAGTGCTCAGGACCGCCAGCTGGCAGACTCACCCCCTGCCAGGCCAGTGACGATGGAGGCGATGCCAGAGGCGGGGGGACCTCGCAGCCCCTCGATGGTCATCTTGGACTGGTTGTTGATGCGCTGTTTCAGCTCTGCCTTCTCCGACTCCAGCTGGTCGATATCGGCCTGCAGAGCGTCCATAGTCTCTTCAAACTCCCTGCGGAGAGGGAACAGCGTCAGCAGAGCGTGTCTTCCGGTTTCCATGCACTGGGCATCCAAGCTTAATAAGGTACACTTCAATTCAGATAGAAAGGGCACTTACGCAACATTTTATTTACCTGAATAAATAAAATCGAAATAAGAGTGGGAGTTAGCAGAGAGGGAAAGCAAGGACAGAAACACAAATTGTATAAGAATCCTGCTTAGGCACCTAGCTTTGTCCGTCTTTATTTGAGTTCTGCTTTTTAATTTTGTAACATACTCCATTTCCACTGGCCTGTCACTCTCTCCTTCTCTAGTTAAAGACCAAGAGATAAGTTGGTAGTATTTGCTTCTTGAGGGACTCCCATTAACAGTGCTCAGAGCGCAGGATGAGGTCAGTCTGAACCTGGTCTTTGGATTCAGCGAAAGGCACGGTACACGATTAGCAGAGCACTGTCACCATTGGGTGGGCTTAGCTTGGTCAGGGTACTATTATTATATATTATATATTTTTTTACGTTAACTTCATCATGCGCCTCCTACTTGAGTGTAAACGGCTACTCTCTCCCCCTGTGCGCTCTGACCCCTGACCAACCCCCTGGCCTGTGTATTTGTGGACTCGCCTGGATCACCAGCACAACACAACCCCCCCCCACCCGACTCTTACTTCTCTTTCTTCTTGAGCAGCGTCTGGGTCTCGTCCAGCTTGGTCTGGATCTTCTCCACGCGTTCATCTGCGTCTTTGGAGGCGCTGTCCAGTTTCTTCTCTAAGAGGCTGAGGCGCACATTGGCCTCACTCAGCTCCTCTCCCTGTGCAAAAACAGCAGGGAGGTTCATGCCAGGCCATTTGGATTCAAGCACACACAAGCATGAACAAATAGTAATCTTGTAGGAATTACGTTTTACTCAAATGTAACATCTGGTAAAAACAAATGTAATATTATCTAAACACATCTTATAGTTTAAGGTACACATTAAAATAAACATGTAAGTATTATAAAGCTTTCATTCAAACACTACATTAGCATTATAACCAGCATAGTCCCTAAGTTTATCTGTTCATTCTGCAGCTTTAAAAACAGATTAAATTAGATGTGATCAAAGGCCTTTTCAGGATCTAAAAGTTTGTGGATGGGGTTTTGACACCAGTGGTGGCATTAATTAAATATCTGTCATTCCAGCTGCAATAAATCCCAGTTAATCTTGATGAATCAATTCAGTCATGTCAGCATCAAGTCTACATGCAAGCACAGAGATGGGCCGATAGTTAGCACACAGAAGGCCCCTATTGTTTTTTCAGTAATATGAAATAGCATTTGTCACCACCACTTCGTATTAATAGTGGGAATATTCTCAAAGATTTCGTTGTGGTTGAGTCAGTGAAAATGCCTTTACTACAGCTTTAAAAATAGTAATTCAGTCTAGGCTTATGGATAACTCTGCCTGTAGTCTGAGGAAAAGACCAAGTTCCTTCTTAGTGATATCCAATTAAAGTGCTTTTAAGGAGTGCTGGCTCAGACTGCAGTTCTGCAATACTGCACAAATGAGATTTGTTAAAATTGGAAGCAAGATGTGCAGCAGCACACCCGATAAAGCCCTTTTTTTCCCAAATCCTCAAATCATAAATTGCTGAAACCATAAAATGTAAGGGTCACTCACTAAGGGATGAGTAAAACAAAAAAAAATTACATTTGTATTAAAGTGAGAGTCGAAACAAATCCTTTGGTAGTACAGCAGTGTTGAGACATCATCTTGAAAATTTATATTTACATATATTTATATTTACATATACTGAATAATGTCTAAATATATTGTGTTATGATAAGTGGAGCTGTAGTAGCAGCCTTTCATTCCTGCAGGGGTGCAGTGCTTCTCTTCAATGAAGAGCTTCAGCTCACCTTGATTTTGAGAGACTTCTTCAGCTCCTTGATGACGGTCTCCCTGTCCTCCAGTTTGAGCCCCAGGCCTTCGGCATCAGTGATCTCAGCCCGCAGAGCAGCGGCTCTCAGCTCCACTGGAGGAGGGTTCTGTGGAGAGGAGGGGCTTCAGACTGGACAGCCTAGAGAGCAGCACACTGAAGCAATGCACCAAACACCACTGAAGAAAAACAAGTTGGTTTCATTCATACATTTCTGCCGCTAAGAGATAAGAGATAAGAGAGAGATCACTTTATTGGGCATAAACAATTTCTTGTATTAGAAATTTGTCTTTTCGCATACCCCTCTCCATAAGACACACAGACAGGGAGAGAGCAGCTTGGGGTCAGAGCGCAGGGTCAGCCATTTATACAGCGCCCCTGGAGCAGTTGGGGTTAAGGGCCTTGCTCAGGGCCCCAATGGAGGAGAATTCCTTTGCCGGCCGCGGGAAACGAACCAGCAACCTCCCAGTCACAGGCGCGGATCCTGAGCCACAGAGCCATATTGTGCTTTAAAAATACCCTCTTCCTTATTCCTGACCTTGTACTGCGGCCGCTCGGCGTCGTACTCTCCCTCCTGCATGGCAGTGGCCATCTTGTTCATGGTGGCAATGACAATACTGCAGGACTGGCGCAGACACTCGTGTGGGTTAATGCCCTGGGAGCCGTAGATCTGCAGGGAAGAGACAGTTGGTTTGACACACGAACGTAGACAATAACACTGGGAAATAAACATAGTGCAATTTTCAGCTTTCAATAACGTGCATGTATAGGGTGAAACTGCTTTTCGTATTACAGAATGTAAATCTATTGGCTTAGTAAGGACCCTGCAGAATATTCTTTCTGTCCTAAAATCAGTGAGGACATACATGGGCATGTTAACAAAGCAGACAATAAAGCCATACGTTAAAGACAAGCTTTTTGAGAACCAATTTGTATTATTTTTGAGCATAAACCTAACACGGAACAAAAACAACCCCTACATTTTCAGAATTCTCACATATTCTTCTATACTGTAGGCCCCTGTGAAGCTCATAAGCAGACATTGTATGCAACATCTCTACTATTTCACCCTTTTGGTTTGTGTGTCAAATCCAATGTTTACAGGTACAATGCTTAAAAACGCAAAATTGGGATGACAGGCACCCCAAAACTAGCAGGAACGCAAGGCCCCTCCACACCACTGGGGGGCGCTGCCTACCTGCTCTGCAGCCTTGAAGGCCAAGTCCTCCAGTTTCAGGGCCGACAGCCCCTCCTGCTCAGTCAAGGGAGCAATCATCTGGGCCCCGGCTGCAGCCACCTCCTGCAGGACGGCCACCACCCAGGTCAGGTGCTTCCTGCAGTCCATCAGAGTGTCCGACACCTGCGAGGGGGAGAGAGGAGGGGACAGGACCACGCAGAGCTGCTGTTAAACCCAGAGCACAGAGGGGGGCATCCTGACGATGTGCCCCCCACAACCCAGGTGCTTATTTGCAGAATGAACAGGGATGCATCTGACAGACAGGTAATACAGCACTTTCTCTAAGGTACTTCCACACCCACACTGGTACTGGATAATGCAAGAAACCAGGTAACTGTGCTACCAGCTGACACGTCCTACAGAATAATGGAAACAAGTCAAAGAAAAAATATTTTTAACACTGCTAGGAATATCATTAGATTATCAACATATATTTTTTCTATTGTGGTGACCAAAACTGAATGCTAATTCTAAAATAAATCTTTCTAGTTCATTAAAGTTATAAACAAAATCCCTTAAATTAATCCTAACACATTCTAACACTGTTTGCCTTTGTATTGCTTACCAACATTGTCTAGAAGCTGAAAAAATGCAGTGTTCCTTCTTTAATATACGGTATATAGTTCATGTTTGAGCTTCCTGCATGTAACACAGTGCACTTATCTACATCTTGTATACACGTTTGTAATTAATTTAATTGAATACCTATGACCTGCAATTAGAGAATTAATCTTTTATGAAGAACTAAACATACCACATCATGTGTTTGAAAGAGCAACTAGGTACATTCTCAGGCTCTGACTTTAAGGACTGAATGCTTTCAGTCTTAAGCAGAGAAGACTAAAAAAAGGAATCCTGAATCAAACATTCAAAATCCTCAAAGGACCCCAGCCAACCTCTTTAAAATCAACAGTGAAACATGAATCAGAGGATGCAAGTGTAGCATACAAGGAAGAACCTTTGAGCACAGGAGGAACATCTTGCCATTAAGGCTTGTGGGAATCTGGAGGCAGATACCCAGCCCTGTGTTCAAAGCTGGTAACATCACTTCTTCCTCAGATCAGCTGAGACAGACTGACAGAACAGATTAAAATGATAGCAAAGTCCTATTTGTCTCAATTTCATCAATAGGTCCTCCTTGGTTCTGTAATGTACTACATCTTTTACAGGACAATTAAAAAACATTTGTTGATCCAATACGAGAAAATTCACAAAAACATTGAGATGTTTTTCATGCAGCAGCAAATTAGAGAGCCATGTGAATTTCCAATAAAAGTTGATAACTACTTATTACTTAGAGGTGTAAATTATGTTAACTCTTATATTTAATTATATTATGTTTTCAGTTTATTACATTATAAAATAAACACAGATGGCCATTGTCAGATCTAGTGAAGCATCTTCAAAGTCTATTCAGAAATTACAGCTTTAGTGAAAAGGAATGCCTAAAATACTGCAATGGTGAATACATGTCCAGAAAAAACTAGCCTAAAAGGAGCAACTTTAAATGACGTATTTTTTGGGACTGCCTTTATTGTTACTGTTGGTACTGCTGGTATCAGCTCTAGCTCAATGATACAGGTAGTGATACATCGCGACCCATTCAGCTACAACTGATATGATACTGTGTGTTTTAAGTACAGCAGATGGAAACTGTTTTTTTTGCATTAAAAGGGGATGGAGGATGATTCACACTTTCTATGATCTCTTTCCAACAAAGAAAATGAAAAAGATATCTTTCACTTAGGATTAACTGCTGCTTACAAATTAACAAAACAAGCAATAAATATCAACAGCCATCTGAAAAAGACCTACAATTAAAAACACACTGAATGCAGTGACCCTGGGTTTTATAAACTGCTTTCTTCCTTTATATCTAGAAATCCCGGATAAAAATCCCATTTTACAAAATACTGTTTATTGCTTCAAAATGTCTTCAATAAGGCTGCAAAGAACTAGAGGGAGAAAATATTTCCATTTAAAGTACTTGCAGTACCCAAGAATACAAAAAAGTTGCTAAGTAAATTACTTTTGTCATTCATTCACAAATACTACCTCAGCAAGATTACTAAAAAGACGTACCAACTTGATTATACCATGTGTTGGAGAAACAAGTAAAGGAAAAGCTGAGAATTAAATTGCTGGAAACTGTTTGCAAAACATGAGCCTCAAAAGTCAGTTACCTGTGATCATAATTGTCCACTCAAAGCCACCCTTAACGTTCCCATGTCATTTGGTGATCTTTGTTTTTAACACCTACTGTCACTCACTGCCGCTGCAGCTCTGCTGCTTACACTGGATGAAGTCCTCAACCAGCGCTTCGTCACGTGTGAGGAACAACTCCCACCGCTAAAAACTCTCCGACCACTGATGAACTGAGCAGATATTTCCATGATCCTAGTGCTATTGGTACAGTATGTGACGTGCAGATTAAAAACGAGATGATTTCCCCAAAACTAAATCTAAATAATATCAAAGAAAAAAAAGGTGTGAATGCCGGCAGAGGGTACTTAAACCACGTGTTCGAGGAAATTGGAAAACTAACCCTGGAAAATACCTTTTATTATTCTTAGAAAACACTCCTTCTGAAGCTCCTTTCCATTATGAAGTTGCAGCAATTAAATGTAAAGAATGTGGGACTGACTTATTTCTATATTACGTTAGATGACACCAGGAACATTTAAGAACATATTTGCTTTTATACTGTGATGTTTTTCTTAATATTTAAAGGGCTGTATGTTGCCTACATGCTGTGTTGCAACACACTTCATTGTTCGGCATGATCAGTGCTATGGAAATGCCGCTTGGACTGGCTCTGAGATTTGGTGAAGTACCTGCTGCCCAAAGGTAAGCGCGGCAGGAATCCCGGGGACGTCTGTCCCTGGCATCCGGCGGCGGATCTTCTTGCAGAACTGCCGGATGTCGCTGCAGGACGTGTCCAGGTCCTTCAGCAGGATGGCGAGACCGGCAGCTTCCTGTCCTGTCTGCAGGGGAGAAAGGGAACCTGCTGCTCACAACCAAGGTCACTGTGGATCTTAAAACCATGAATCAAACCACAAACCTCGGCAAAGACCCATCCTCCCAGGACACATCCGGTTATTACCACTATATTCTAGCAGCCACGTCAACGGAGAAGACACTTGGCTTTGAGAATAATTTATACAGCAGGGCTTTCACTGGCGCAAGCCGAGGGAAGCTGCTTGCAGTCCGGTGTCTAGAGCTCTTTACCCCACCCTGCTGCCGAGTTACACGAGACAATAATCACACATAATCAGACATTTAACATTGGCACGGCCATAATCTACTGATCTAAAATGTTATGGCTTTCATTTTGTTAATGACTACTATTTCAACATAAGACACGTCAATAATCTCAATAATTTTTTCTAGTACAATATTACAAATACACCCCATACAACAGAATTGTATGCTGAATTGTAAGCTATACAATTCAGTGCAACTGAAAAGCACTTTTTACAATAGTTACTGCACGGTGTAAACTCACCCCCACATATTGCTTTAATTAGTTCAGGAAGATTTTTGTGTGCCTGAGTTCTCCAGGCAGCTTAATTAGTTATGGATACTCATTGCGGATTATGTGTGCCTCACATTTCATGAGGTCAATTACATTTTGTAAAAGAAGCATAACTGTGTTTAAGCACATGTGCTTTCTTGGTCAGATTTTACTGATTCAGCCTTGCTAAATAAAACAATTACAGTGCAGTTTTACTAGAAACTGTAGAAGTATATTCGAGACCATGGACTAAACATGAAAATCTGTACTTGCATCCTGTGAAATGGCAATAAAATGGAAATCAAACATCCACATTACAAAACACTGTTTGCTAACATTAGCATTTTTTATGTATGAATTCATTTTAATACATTCTCAATCATTCACTGGCCTTCTCCCACAGCTGAGGTTAATCATCTCCCATGAATCTGAAGGAGACTGGTTTGACTGATGTAGGACCGCACACTCTCTGGCAGGCTAAGCAGGTGTCTTGGGAGACATCTGGTCTCGTACTGTGTGATGAGGTCATGGTAAGCTCTCATCAACACTCCCCCTTTGCTTTCTCATTCTGATACCTTTGGGCCTTTAAAGAAATGGGCTGCTTCCTAAGTTTTCCGATCTGGTTTGGTCAAGGACCATAGCCTCCTAGAATTCAAACAGATGTTTAATTTCTACCTGTTTGTTTATAGCATATCTTCGAAACATTTCTGCTCTCTGCTGGTGAGACTGCCTTGGCTATGCAGGAAGAATAATACAACCAACCAAACGGAGCTGACAGCAGATGATCATGGCTTCAACGTTTGTGGTGACTTCTTGGGAGGGAATACTGAGGTCAGTGCAGCTGTCCTCTCACTCGATGTGTAAAACTTTTCATAAATAACGACGGTGATAATAAGCGTTTCCTATATGGTGTCTGTGTTTCAGCTCCATGCAGCAGAAAGGACGATGGACCAGTAGATCATCAGTTCGGACTCAGCTTTTGTAGCGCAATCCTCAAACACCCACATCCTACAAACACAGGGCCAAAGACTGCACTTTTTCAGTCTTCTGTAAAGGGATAGGGAGTGCTCTACATTCTCCAGACACTCACTGTGGAACTGAACTGATGGTGTTGGGACGTGTGCATTTGGAGCTGGCTGATGGAGGACTGAATGTTAAGTGTAATCTTCTCATATCCCTCAGTAAATATGTTGGCAATTGTCTGGAGATTAATTTCTATGAAGAACACATACTGCCGCATTATCAGCATACAGGAATGTGATGACAGAATTTAGAGTGGTTTTAGTTGTGGACTGTTTATTAGGGTCATTGCATTTATTCTTCCATTCAGCTGCACTCCAGCAGGAAGCTTGTCTGTAATCAAACAGAGCAATGTGCTGAAAACATTGAGAATATTGGAATACTGAAAATAGAAATGGGTGCAATGACACATCCTTGGTTAACTCCTGTCTGGACTTCAAATGTCTATGTGACATATCCATTTGTAAGCATTACTGCATGTATAAAACACAAAACAGCAGCCGATATTTGAAGATGCATGAATTTTGAAGTAACCTATACTTGATGATGATCTCCCAGAGTTCCTCAGGATTCAAAGGAACACAAAACCTTTGTCAAGTCAAAGAATGAGAAGCAGAGCTACTGGAGCTCTTCCTACGTTTTTCATGTACCTGTAATTGACAGACTGTTAAAGTCAAGCCTGTCATGCCTCTGAGACCAACGCTAGGAATGCAGGAGAAGCTCATTATCAAGAGAAATGAGACACCTCAGGGAGAGTCCTAAAATCATCCTTCCCAATAGGCATAGCAGAGATTCCTCTATATTTTTCACAGTTGTTATTTGTCCTTATTCTTGAAGATTGTCAAAATCCCGACTCCTTAAAATCACTGAGCACAAATCTCCTGTCCACCGTGCTTAAAAATGTCAAGGTGGATTCCTTCACCCCCTGCTGCTTTGTTGTGTTGAAAGTGAACATGCAAATGAAGAACATCATGAAATACTGGTAAAGAGCCCTCCCCAAACTGGGAGATGTGGGATGAAATTGAATATATTATCGATGGCGGTGGACTGAAGGAAAACATCCTGCATCTCTTTCTCAGGAGGTCTCACCCTACATTGTGTCTCAAAAAGACTGGTCCTGGGCCCCTACAGGCTTTGAACAGTCCCTGTGCCAGTAAAAAATTTAAAGGTTTGTGTCTGTAAGAGGCTGAATTTTGTTTATCTGTCCACCTACAGAACCATTTCATAGTTCTCCAGTGCTTGTTAGTGGTCCAGCTGCTTCTTTGTGTTATTCTGCTGGTCGTTCTGCTTCAGACTTGTCATAAGTGAGCAGACTGATTATCTGGTCACTTTTGTCATAGCAATCCTGGCATTTCCTGGTACAAAATCATTCAGACTTTCACTTTAATGGTCTTAGATTCCCATGGTGGAAACTGGTCCAACAATCTAAAATCAGCCGTTAAAACAGGATGAATAATCATCTGAATGAGAAACAAAAGTAATCTTCCTCAAATCTTTAATGCGTTTAACACGACAGGTATCAAGGTGTCTCTTTTTTAAGAAGAAGTACGAATTAGTAAAGTCATCCATCTGTCCTTGATCAGAAAGCTACTTGATCCCAACATGAGCTACAGCAACTTGTAGCTTAAGCTGGAAGCGCAGAGAGCAAGACGGACCTACACCCTAAATAGGACACCAGTCCATCGCAGGGTGTGAACACACTAGCGAACAGTGATAACTCAGAGACACCAATATACCACTTAAGCTAGGAAGAAGAAACCCCACCTGAAGGAAAGCCCGCAGTCGGCCCACTTCAACTGCCATGCAGTCCAAGGCACTCTGGGTAAACTGAAACCAGAAAAGAAATTTTGACACTCATTTACACTGGAAGCCAGAGCTGTTAGAATAGGACCAAAAAGCCACAAGTAAACAATGTTTCTGAAATTAAAATGAAGGCAGTACATCTTCCATACACCATCTCACAATAACATATACATAAGACAAAAAATCTGACTTACACATTCTGAACCTTAACATTATTTTTTCTAATTATTAGGATACCACTCTCACAAGTAAAGTAGATAAATGAGTACTATCTTCAATATGTTTAAACATCTCTTCTAAGAGGAAATGTTCTTAATATACAAGCTCTTATAAAATATGGTGCTCTTAATTAAACACAGGAAGGGGCTTATCTTCAGTAAGAGGGTTATCCCCTTGTCAACACCTACAACCAGATCCAATTATCCAGCTAGCCTCATTTTCTGAAGTTAGGAAGTTTATATTAACAGAGCAAAAACATTGAATACGAACCTTGAAATATGTTCAAGCCCACAGAGTAAATGGTGCATTCCTACTGCAGCCTCGCTAGCAGACTGCTGCAAGGGTAATGGTGTTGATGGCTATGCACTTACCCTGATGTGGTCAGCCAGCTGCATAGTGCAATCCTCAGGCTGGTCAGCCAGGTGGATACTGTACAGGTGCTGCAGGGAAAGGAAACAGCTCAGCTAAGCCTGGAACAATATTCCTGCACAAGGCAGGCCTCTCAGGATTGAAAGGAACAGCTCAGCTAAGCCTGGAACAATATTCCTGCACATGAAACGGGCCTCTCAGTACAGCAGTATGAGCTGGCATGCTCAGAATGATCTAGGTGAGAAAAAATGCACTACCATCACAAGATAAACTGGTAGTGACCTGCAACCAACTCATGCAATTCCTTCTGCCCTGGGGTGTTCGTCCTGAACAGGTCACGTCGAACAGTTACATGTTCTAATATCAACAATTTCCCCAAGGAAACTACACAAATTATGCTGAAAATAATACTGTGAAATAAAGTGATTCTTATTTCTTCTGCGTTACACTGAATTGCTGCTTCTTTTCATAACTGATTTCTCATATGTACTGGAAATGAGTCAATGTCAATCCCAACAGTCCTTGAGAAAGCAATCTCTTTTCATTTTTCATGGGTACATTTGCCAAGAAACAAAATAACTTAAATTTCAAAAAGGAGGGACAGGCCGCGGTCAGCGATTGCAATAAATTGCAGATATGAAATAAAGAATGGAAATTTAAAAACAGAGCTTCAACTATCAACAACAAACAAATAACTAAAAAAAAACTAATTTGATCTTCCAGGGACAAGATAAAGCTATATGCTAAAAAAACAATCTGTGTATGAAGATATTTTTGAAAGCAGAAATGTCTTGCTTTGCAGCGTTATGTTACTATTAATGGTGTGCAACATCTAGAGACTCTGCACCTACACTTTCTTAGCCTTTATCCGATCTTTCAATTCCCAGTATGCGGCTCAGGACACTGGGATAGCAGGATTTCTGCTGCTCCAAAGCTGTGGATTGATCTCCAGGCTGATACAAGATCTTGCAAGCCAACTCTTTAAAAATACTCTTAAATTCTTTCATGCAATAGCCTTTAAATCTGTTTAAATGACTGCTTTCTGTTGGGTATACTTCCCTCTTTTTGGCTATTTTGCCTGTTTTACTACGAAGTGCTGCGAAAAGAGGCACCATGAAAGACACAGGATAAAATAAGCTATCACTGTCATGAAAAAGGAAAGGACGTTTAAGATAGGAACTGAACCTTTTGAGTCTTTAACAGAGATGGCCACATGGGAACTCGATTCAAGAATTTAAAATCATGGATGCCGTTGACCAAGGTAACGCAACTTCTTACGAAAACACAGTGAAACACAAACCAGAGGGCACAAATTGAAAACAGGAGGCACTCCTTTAGCCAAAGTGTTGTGGGAATCTGGAACAGGGTCCCCAGTCAAGTTGTTAAAGCCAATAGCTAGATGAGATCCTTGAGTTTATTAACTAACGACCATATGGTCTAAATGGGCCACATTGTTACTGTTCTTAAATGAATAAGCACTCTCCCGTCACTGCCATAAAAATCATCTGTAAAAGAAGTAATTTTATGAGGATTTTCCCCACATTATGATTTCATTATTAGCCAGAGAAACAGTTACAGGAAAAGGACACGAGGCAGTGGTGATGACAGTCCAGATGTGTAAATTGAAGGTTGTGGTCCAGTGATTACAGATAAGTGTGGCTGGATGATTTACTGAAAATGGCAAATCAGTATCATGTAATCCAGGTGTAGAAAAAGTAATTCACTGGTTGTAGGTCTGGGATCCTTATTTAGGTGGCTAAGACCCTTGAAGAATGTGTAAAATTTGTAAACACTCTGTAGAGTTAGTATTCCCGTGTCTGAATGCACCCCTTCTTCGTGTTAAGACATATCTATTTCAAATAGACTGTTTTCCATAACACAACATTAGATTCTTAATACAGTCATGAAAAAGGTTGCAGTTAATGTATAAAAGGCACTCAGCAATGTCTATAATTCCCTGTGCAGAGTGCATTGTTACTTCTCTACATAGCTCTCCGAAGGTTATCGTAATAAACAAATCTGCTCCAAACTGCACTGAGAATTCTTGCCTCCCTGCACAGGGCAAGGCAGGTGACCACATTTGTTTCTAATCAGAGGAAACTGGGTGTTTGCAGCCCTCTCTGTGTATTGCTACACTTTGTTCTTCATGCACTTTACTGTCTTATAAGAACTGCAGTGTTTCATGTGTCCTTAATGATGTCAGAGAGATCAAAGTAATAATAATAAAGCCCTTGTCTGGGAGGGGAAAGCCGTAGAGGATCGTGCCAGCATGCATGGGGTGGGGAGGAGAGATGTGGCATGTGTGAAAGTAGTAAAAATGTTTACGTGTTCAATTAATGAGGTCTATATCAATCTCTGATATTTCATGTAAGGGCCAACTTACAGTGCCTTGCGAAAGTATTCGGCCCCCTTGAACTTTTCAACCTTTTGCCACATTTCAGGCTTCAAACATAAAGATATAATTTTTTTATTTTATGTGAAGAATCACCAACAAGTGGGACACAATTGTGAAGTGGAACGAAATCTATTGGATTTTTGAAACTTTTTTAACTA